TAAGGCTTAAAAGGGATTTTCGCAACCTTTTTTTTTCCAATTCATAAAAGTAGGTCCCATCAATTGTATTGAACGTGATTACCGTGGGTGTTGCTTGGATCAGCTGCATAACAACTGCCATTTCTCTCAACCTCATGGCAGAGATGGGTATGCTATGGTACAATTGTTTCAGCAGTGTAAACCCACGGTTACATAATGAAAACAATTCATACGTGAAATGTACTCAGCAGGTATTAATGAGTTGAACACATGTTACAGAGTGGGATATACTTTTATATCCATAATAAGCTTCTTTATGTCGCAGTTGTTAGGCTATCTAGAGAATAAGGAGCGGAGCTACCATTTGTAATGGCCATGTTCGTAGTTTTTTATATTAATTTTTAATTTTCGATTCTCTGGCGTATGTTGGCCGGTGACTTCCATGGTATTTTTTTGATTATGCTACCTACCGTTTTGGAACCAAAAATTGTAATAGAAACATTGTTAAGTATAAGTAACCCTTTTATAATATTTTTATCTATCAATGACTTCTAATGACAGTTTACCCGGTAACATTACTAAAAGTATTATTAAGTAAGCAATAACTAGGTTTATAAATGGCAATACTTTATCATTGTACAATGGTATCGCATAACGATTCATCATCGTTTAATAATACCTGGTTCATCTATACTACTATACTAATATAGTAAAGAATAACACACACTACTTTGTGGCGTAGGATGTCAGCAATCACAGCACATTTTTGAATAATTCTTACTTTAATATAAAAACCTACACCTACGACACGCTTTAGGCTTATTGTCACGCTATTAAACTTGGGGGGGGGGGGTAAATAAATTGGAAAAACCTCCATGCCAGAAAGGGACCATAAACTACGAGCTTATTTTGGTTAAGAAGTTAATAAAAATATATAATTTCATGCGGATGAAGTCGCACGGAAACAGCTAGTATATTATATTGAATTAGTTTTAATACGGAAATATTGTTCGTACGAGAAGCGATATCAGCACCGTGTCAAACATATGGCTGTGGTCTCTGCCTACTCCTATGCAGTACTGGCGTGATTATGTTGTTTTTTATTTGACCATTGATTTTCGTACTTTTTCTACTTAAATATGGAGGGTATCTTTTACTGCATCTGGCGTTTAAAGTCTGTCGTTTTAAGGATCGTCGTCAAGAGTGAATTATGGCGTAGTCATATAGTTTAAGAGCTGTCACAGCAACTCCTAGACTATAGTTACGTCTTTTAATATATCCCATAGGGATGTCAGATGATACATTAAAAGTTTCTTATCCTTTGCCGTATACTTACGTTTGTCTTTAAATAGAAACACAAGCAATTAAACATAAATGAAACAATGGAGGGATTACAAGCGGTATAACACGAATATTTGCAAAAAAGTATTTGTAACATCCTCGAAAAAAATGGAATGAGATTTGTTGATGTCATATCTGAATTCACTACCTTCCATGATATCCTTTTTCAAACAATACATCCATACTTTTATCGCTCTTCCTTTACCTTTATAACCATCCACATTCAGTCATTAATTTGTCGTTTATCATAGAGATGATGCGAAGAGCCGCGTTATACGTCTATACCACGGTAACCATTTGATTCTCAAATTATTCATCACCATCATATAAAACAACTAGAAAACGATAGTTTGATGAAAAAGCTTGAGGATTTTTCTTAACTTGATGGAAACACAATAACAAAAATTGCGTAAAACAGTCACGTGCAGAGTGACGTCAACATACAGTTGCAAGCTGCACGTTTTAAACTTAACCATGAGTTTCCATCAGCGAAACATCCGTACGAAAATACTTTCTTATCTCAGCTATGAAGAAGAACGCAAGAGATTATATGTTGACGAATGTTTCCGCAATTTAAACTCAAGACGAAATTCAGCCGAGCTTATTATCTACTTGTACACACTCAGTGTTCATAACCAGGACAGTCACATAGTTAGCTGACTGTCCTGGCTTCTCATCTCAATGATGTTTTTTGCTTAATAAACTTATGTATTCCTGGTACCAACAACTCAACCGACTTCTAAAAGGAGAAAGCTATAAATATTAAACTGTCTTTTTTAAATAACCAAGGATCAAACCACAATAATACTAAACGTTTAGTGAGTCTACGTTACGAGAGTACTAGTTGTACTATTTAGACTTCGTAATGATACCTACATCATAATTGTAACTGAAGTCAAAACGTTCCAGATTGTTCAAGATAAATACTCAATTGGTTTCGCACACTTACTTTGTACATGATACGACTTTAGGTCTTAAGTATCAGAAGGCAAAATTATATTTCAAACACGAAAACATTGTATAGACTAAGATAAATTAATATGATATTAAGTTAACCGCCTAATTGTTCTATTATCAAATTTCTCACTAAATTGTGGATATTAAAAATAAATCTGAGACGAGAACCATAAAAATGAGAATCATCTTAGAAACAGATGCCTGACCAATTAACTAACCCAAAATTAGAAGTAGTTATTGAAAATTGTTCCTTAAAATTACTTTGCTATTCATTTTGAATTTCTGATAACATATTATATATAATTATATATAACATATAAATAATGCTTTGAAATAACAAAGAGATGAAAAAATTTAATCACTATAATACTATTTTATCCCAAATTTTTAAGCTAAATATTATTAAAACCTTGTTGTTACAGTGTATAATAATAGTATATAAGTAATCCGGAGTTAAAATAAAAAACTGTTATAACAAATCTTGTACATATTTTTACTTACCAGATGTCACGGATGCGACCACAAAAAACGCACAAAAACACTTTAAAACAGTTTCCTCCTATAAATTTTAATTTATTTGTGCAGCAAACTCGACGCGAATCAAATTAGGACAAACTTTGAAAATGGAATGAAAGTCGAATCGTAAAATACGAACACAAGGTACCGACGCCGACACGTCCGGCGTACTCTGCCGTGCGAACTTAAGTGAAGCCGAAGATACGCACTATCAATCAAAAGCTCCCGACACTTTAACGAATAATTTTAATTTTATATTTTTCGTGTAACATTTTTGCTGATTTTTAAGATAAAGACTGGAAAGATCGAACTGTAAGTATGATCTAAGGCACATACTTACTAAATATAATCTGTACCCAAAATTATTGCTATGGATGAAACTAACAATATTCTCCTGCTTGTCTATACTATTATATGAAACTTTAATATATTTTAAACCGCGATTTACCAGCCCTAACACATATATTTATTTTTGCACATTTATCATATTTTTTTTATTTATACATATGTTTCAGCAGCAGAAAGACACGGTTAACTCTTTGCTTAACAGAAAGCGGATTTAAAATTTACAAATAATTTCACTGTTATTTTAGTATCTAGGTGTATCGCTTGTCCTTTCTTATTTTTCTCTTCGAATAATATGAAGGTCTCCGTTGCTTAGCAACGCTAATCCTCATTGTTTGACGGCACGACTCCCACGGCGTTCTATCAATAGTTGAAAACTGAAAAAAAAAACTCATTTTATTGTAGCATTTTAACAATACATCAATAAGCATTCTTGCTAAAACTAAAGGTAGAGGCAAATACTTACGAATTTTCCTTTGGCCAACTCCTTGTAAATCAATCTAGTTAGCTTTTGCTGTATTCATATTCAAATATTCTAGATATTTGTAGCATTTTAGTTTTGCAATAATTCCTATATTTATTTCACATTTTTCGATTCTCTAGGGGGAAGCAGCCGCTTCGCCCTTAGCGACACCCATGGATGCTGTTTGTTTTTCTTAAATCCGTTGTGCATTGTGTAATAAAATGTTAAATCAAATCTTTTACTCAGTGCTCCAATTTTTATACAATCTTAGATTTAAATATGTTTAATGTAGATTTCTAAGCAGAAAACTCATGGTGAAGTAAAATGTTGAACAATAAAATCGTTAACTTAAGATTTGAGAAAGTCAAGGTTCATTTAAAACATTAATCTCACGCATGGGTAGAAGCTATGTGTAATTTAGTTATAGGATTTTTTATCGAAACACATGTATGCGAATCTACTCTAAACAAATGTCGCTTCTGTTTGTTAGTAGTACTGGAATTTAATATCTTGAGATCTCGTGTTAAATATTTTTTTTTTACAATAATTTGTAATCGTTTCAGAATGTGATAACTGGTGCTTTGGTCTTGCAATATGTGCAGGCTGTCAGTCTTTCCAATAGGAACGGCCAGAGAAATGTCAAGTCCAAAGCGTACGGCAACTTGGAGGACGGCATAAAATTTTTAATAAGATCCAAACACGATGGTCGAAGATGTGATTCGGATGAGAAGATGAAAAAGAAATATCTTATGGAGAGTTTAAGGATGCATATACCGAAGAACAGAGTTAATTTAATGCTGCGTGATCAAAAATCTGAGACGACTGAAGCTATAGTGACACCGCGTAGCAAAAATTTCCTAGCAGAATTAGTGGAAGCCGAGCTTAAGTATGCTTTGGAGAAGAAATCATCAGCTCTGTACGATCGGCCGGTGGTCGAGCAAATGGGTAGGAATGACTTCCTCGTTATCAACCCTGGTGACGTTGACCCATTCGTTACGATAATACCGAACGATATTTACTATAATCATGAGAAGACTTGCGTCAATTGGTTAGAAGACTGCAGCTATCAAGGGATGCGAGCGAGACTTTGGCAGAAGCTCAAGTCTCATGACATTTAATATAAATAAAGTCAAACAAGGATATCTGAGGCGCTGCTGTCACGGTTAATTCTGTCGACAGCAGTAAAGAGAGGTCTTGTATAACTTTTTTGACGTTGACTGGGAGGCGCCAGTGAAATATCATAATTTAGTTTAATTTATGCCCTCGGAACCAAGTATCCTTGTAGTTCATTAACAACAGATTTTTTTTTCATTTCTTCAATACAGATTTTGGCAGTGATTTAGTAGTTTAAACCCAAAAATAATGGTGCAAAATTATAGGATTATGAGAAAAACGCAAGTTTTATTTATAAACAGTTTATTGGTTTAATATTAGTCGTTCACTTAGTAGCGATATACAATAGAATTCCTTATTACGTAGTTTCGATACAATATTAAGTTTCATCGTAAACGTACATAACATCAGTACTTTAAACTAATCACGATAAAATAGTATGCGTCAGCGCAGCTCACAGCTTACAGTAACCGACACATTTAATGCAGTCAATGACTAAGTAACTTGTTAAGCTAAATAGCATCACCGTCTCAACCAATTACAAGCAGTTATAAAGTAAATGCCACCGCACTGTTTAAACAAAATAAACAATATTTATTCGATTTATTTCTCGCTCTAAAATATATCTAAATACTTCATAGTAGCACATCTTATGTTTTAGATAATGAAAATAATATGAACTGTGTAATTACATAACTAAATCATAGAAAAAAAGCAACGGCAGCAAATAAATGGCAGTGACTGAAACAATGAGATATTACAAAAACTAGTTGGACTGCTTTTGGCACATGGTAATTAAAATAAGGACTTCTTGATTAAAAAAGAGATTTTCTAATTTTTAGAGAGAACTTTTAGAAAGCACACACTCTCAAGACAAGTGCATATATGTATACACTTTTCTAACATATACTTATAAAAAGATAAAAAAAAACAAAGCTTAGAAGGCGAGCGGATGTTAATTTTGCAAGACATATGCAAGGTAAAAAAAATAGTAACATAGTTACCCTAAGCCTAATAAAAATAATGATTCAATCTTATGGCACCAGAACAAATCCTCACAGCACCGTCGCAGTATACGGAAATATTGAATAACATAATAAAATACATAATAATTAAAATTCAATAATAGCTTTATTATCTAAATACTAAGCTAGCAGTATTGTCCAAAACGGCGAAGTCCACTTAATACTAGATATAACGGTACACATATCAATAAAATCTCTACTAAAATTAACAAATATCAATTTGTAAAGATCACCAGAACTAATCCAATAATTAGGTAAAGAGCTAGTTACGCATTATGAAGGTAAAATATATATTTTGAACAATTGACATGAGATAGTCGCTGCTAACGCAGCGGTCAGCAATAGTAGAGAAATTACAGACGTTACATTAAATTGACTTATTACTTATAAACATTATATCGGTCGATCTCCTTAAAGCGATCGGTCACCTGCAAGGAAAGTAGATATATTAGATATTTGTTTATTTAAAGTATACACAACACCTAATTTAATCACACAATTACTTAGTAAAATAGAACAACTTTGCACTAAACTGATAAATTAGCCAATATGTAGGTGCATAACTACATTATCAGAAACAATTTATAAAGGTTTAATTTTCTAATTAAAAAAAGTAAAAATGTCTAACATACATCGTATTTTAATAAGATATCATAATTATTAAATATCACTAGAGAACAAACATAGTATGTTCTAATGAAAACTGTACATGTAAAAACACGAAGTAAAATAATAAGAATACTGCATTAAAGTACACTAAAAGATAGTGAATATGGAAAATAAATTTTAGATACGATACCTTGAATATCCATATTAGTAATCAGCATAGATGTCCGATTAGTAAGGAATGGCTAGATTAAAGAGTATTACAAAGGATGGAGCAGAAATAAGGCAGATATTGCAAATCAGGGCCGATTGAGATCTGGCCATTGACATGAAGCCAGGTGAAGTATTGAAAACATCAATCTCATCGAAGAAGGGATACCCGTCACCGAACATGTAACTGTTATCCAAGGCAGCGTGCAAACGAGAGAAATGTTAGTATTACAGCGAACGGTGCCGTAAATAGTTAGTATAAGTCAGTTATGTTTGTATTTTAAGCTATTACAATATTGTTTAATCTTGTGTAATATTCTGTTAAATGTTTAATTCACTGGAAGAATCTGGTTTCATTATCCGCGGCACATCTTATTGTTAACGGGTGAATGGTATACAGTAGCCGCGTGCTTGCTAGACAGTATGTTTAAGACCAGTGTGTGTAAGCGAGATAGTAAATATTGTTGAGATATGTGACATGATTTGGAAAACACGTGGTGACAAAAGTGTATTGATTAGTGTAGGTAGTGGTATATTTTTCATGATGTATATAATGTAATTGTTAGTGTTACTAACTCCTTGCATCGCTGGGTGTTTCTGCCGGCGACCGCAGTGCGGCCGAGTTGAATGGCGCGCGGCATGCCCATCAGCTCGACTTGCTCGATGCAGCCCTCCAGCCCCGGGTGCTGCTTGTAGTTGAGACGGTCAGGAATACCACCTGACAAACATTATCATTGGATACATTAATATAGCTTAGTATTTATGGTACAAAAAATCTTTCAACACGACTTAGTCAACGTTGTCACTAAAAAATTTCATTAGAGTAAATTAATAATGCTAAATCTATGTTAAGCGACAGTTATTCTAAATGCGGCAGTAAATTGCAAATACAATTGGCAATTTCAGACGAAATAATTCAAATTTCAAGTAATAATCAGACAATAAATAAATAAACCATAGATATCTTAATATTACCTATATAGACATTAGAGTCGGCACTCATAACGTTGGCGAATCCGTTGGATAGTGCTTTCTTGGTATTGTTGTCGACAGACAGGTAAGCTTCGTTGTTGGCCAATAGTTTGGCGATAATCTGCAATTATTTATTATTTAAAATGAATAGACACAATTATTTCAAATTGTCACTGTCAGGAATAATGAAATACTTGAATGGGAAAACCACTCGTTATTTGGAACGGCATTTGTTTTTCAAATTACTTACAGTTAAACAGAGAGCTGGTGATAATGATGATAGTTAAATATGTAAGACGGTAAGGTCCAAAAAACAGGCTTTGTTATTGTTACTTACCACGTGCCGCTCGCCGTCGGTGACTTGTACATTTTCAATACGAACATCATTCAGTCCGCTGCCTAAGTCCCACTCCATTATCACCACTCCGTTTTCAACTGCAAAGAAAGAATAAGAGATCTTTATTAATAAGATGATTACAAGACGTAACTATAAATGACTGCTGAATGCAAAACTGCTTTCTGCTCCTACTTCGTCATTTGGTTCCTTTTGCTAAGATAATGATTACATACCTATGTACCTAAAAAAACCTCTTTTCTATATATATACCACACTACTACTATATACTATAAAGAGAAAAGTTTAGTATCTTTGGATTTTGATATGTTTTGAAATAACTCAAAAACTGCGCCAATTTCAAAAATTCTTTAAATTTTGAAGGTGCGTTACCACTGAGTAACATAAGCTATTTCTACTATGTTTTTAATTCCACGTAGACGAGGTTACGAGCAACAGTTAGTTTAAAAAACGGTGTGGTTGATTAGAAATATATGCACTATTATTTTTTTTAATGATGTACATAGTTAAAGTGTCACGTCAAAATTCTTCTATACATAGATTAGATACCTTATTTATTACACTTCCGTACATTTGATACCACTTATTAAAACAATAAGACTCACTTCTGATAAGGATATAATCTCCGGTGTCGGGTGGCGCTTGAGCCTCGTGGTGGTAGAGCAGGACGCCGTCGTTACTTGTGACGATCGCGAGCGCCATGATAGCTGGATTCTCGCTGAGGTTCTCGTAATTCAACATGCTGCCCGGCAGCTCCACGTATCCGTTGCCATTGAAACCAACGCTGTGCTGCAGCTCGAGTGCTGTACGCAAACATTGCTCGATCAACATTTAAAAAGTATTAACAAAATCATGGGCGTCCTCAACCTTTGATCTAACAAGGTAATGATCAATTGACGGGGGTTTAACTATTACTTTTTTATTCTAAAGAGTCCACTCCATATACTTACGCATTTGACAATTGGTACCAGCGAAGCCTAGAGGGCAATCGCAAGTGTAGTTCATTTTGCTGGATCGGTCGAGTTTGCAGGTGCCGCCATTACGGCAGGGGCGGGCGGCGCAAGGGTCGGTGTACGGCGCGCGGTACGAGGACCGGTTCTCGCAGTACGTGCCGGAGAAACCCGAAGGGCAAGTGCAAGCTGTGGCGTCTAGGGAAGTGCACCTGCCGCCGTTACGGCACAAGCTGCACACGCTGTACACCTACAGCACACAAACCAACAAATCAAAAGGGAGAAAGAAATTTTATTATCTCTAACTAGCTCCTCTAGTCCTCCGTGCCTCCGTCCGCGTGGATAAAAAAAAATACTTGGTAATTAGTCTGTGTGTTCTACTGGGCTATGATCTACATCTGCGACAAATTTCATCAAGATCAGTGCTACCATTCTTCAAATATGTAATAACAAACATTCGTCCATCCCTTTACAATACTAGCAAGATGTAAGATGACATAGTGAATTGACATCCCCCTTATAACTTAAGAATTTCATACATCCCAAGTATTGATAGTGAATTAACTTTTATAAAATACTCACTTCTGGAATGTCTCCGCGGACATCGTTGGGGCATTCTTGAATATTGGCCGACTGGATAGATGCGTTCACGATGTCCAGTTGATCTCTCTGGTTCAAGCGAACCTATCGAGCAAATAATGAAAATCGCACTGTAATAGCAACTAACTCACGTAAAATAAAGTAGATTGTTTAGCTTGTCGTAAATGCCTGTAAGCAGCAGTCTCTTAACATCAATTAACTTGAGTTAGTTAGTTCTGTGTTAACATTAGTTCTGTGGTCGCTTATAAAAAATACAAACTTCTTTAATGCAGCCGCTGAATCCTCCAATGACGCCAGTGCTGTTGTCCAAGGTTATCGTCTCGTCCACACCGCCCACGTACATCGGTGAGTCAAGGATCACCTCCTGATAGACAAATGAGTATACCAATTATTACCGCAACCATTTTTGTGGCTTTTAACACGTGATTCCACTTCTCCCGGACCATATCTTTTCACTCTGTCTAATTCTACAATTACTTAGAATTCACTTTGCAACTCAATAAATACAAATAGGAACTTAAGGGGTATTAGTTAAATATATGATAGGTTTAGGTTAAATACGTACTGTTTTGTTTGAGGCGAGTTTCTGTTCATATGTATCCACTTTGTTGATCTTCATAGAGACGTCTGTACCGACGCGCGCGATGTGCACGTCCGTCCATTCGTTCACATCCAGTGTCTTGTTACTAGTCAGTACTACCGGTCTACCTGTAGATATCATGCCATAACTGTGTTACAAAAATAGTTACAGATGACGTACAAAAATAGTTACAGACGAATTGAAATTTTTACAAGTCTGTTAAAAGGTAACGCCAAAAAAAACAACATATATGTCACTCTTTTGATTGTTTAAGATATTGAAGATCACACAAAAGAGAACAGAAGTAGTCGCTTTAAATATCGATTATCAATTAAATGTTATTAATTTCTAGTTTTTATCTATTTACCATCGCCAAGGTCGAATCGGTACTCTAGTTTCCCGTTGTGAACGGAGAGGGCGGTGTAACCGCCGCCGCGCGCCTTGCAGTACATAATGATGCCGTCAAGGACCGGTGGTGTCGCTTTGATCTTCATCGACATACGGAAGTAGCGACGCGATGGCGTCGGCAGTCTGATAGCTAGGAACGCACTGCCCGTGAAAGCTGGGTACTCGATGTTTTGCTTTTGTTCGCAGCTAAAAATTAATTACATCATTAGACGTTGAATATGTCGCAGAGTTGTACAGTACACAAATTAAAGGAGCTACATGTTAACCCAGTATTTTTTTGTAGAACTAATGTGACTACAGGATTTTCTTGCTTAAATCGATCGATTGCGAGACAGTGATAGTATTCACAATGTATATAGTGTGTATAGTTAGTGATCCTTACTTTTTGCCAGTGAAAGTGACGGGGCAGGCGCATTTGTAGCCGTCTGCGGTATCAGTACAACGACCG